AAAAAAAAAAAAAAAGGTGCAACAGTACATTTGCAGAGAACTGCCAGAGGTTCAAACCAGATTCAGATGAGAACATGGAACGAAGGATATCAGTGCTGAAGTCAGATGGATCTTTGATGAAAGCAGAGAATACAAGAAAGATGTTTACCTGTACTTTATTGGTTATGTAAAGACTTTCGACTATGTGGATCACGACAAGCTATGGACAACATTGTGGAGAATGAGTATTCTATAACACTGATTTGTGATCATGAGGAACCTATATATAGACCAAAAGACAGTTGTTTGAATAGAACAAGGGGACACTGAATGGTTTAAAATCAGGAAAGGTGTGTGTCAGGGTTGTATGATTTTACCATACTTATTGTGGCACTGCAGGATAATGCACTGGACTGCAAGGTCAGTTTGAAATGAAAGGTCAGCAGTTCAAATCCATCAGCTGCTCCTCAGAAACCCTACACTGGGTAGCTATGAGTCGGAAGTGACTCAACAGCACTTAACAGCAACAACAATTCAATCTGTATGCTGAGCAAATAATCTGAGAAACTAGAGAATATGAAGAAGAACATGGCATCAGGATTGGAGGAAGACTTATTAACAACCTGCAATATGCAGATGATGCAAAATACTTACAGATGAAGACTAAAGAGCAAGCCTTCTTCAGTATGGGACTAAAGAGCAAGCCTTCTTCAGTATGGGTTGTACCTAATTGTAAAGAAAACAAAAATCTTCACAACTGGACTAAAAGTAACATTATGATAAATGAAGAGAAAGAAGATTGAAGCTTTCAAAGACTTCGTTTTACTTGGATCCACGATCAACAGTCATGGAAGCAGCAGTCAAGTAATCAAATGACGTATTGCATTAGGCAAATATATTGCACAAGACCTCTTCAAGAGCAAGCACATCAGTTTGAGAACTAAAATGCACTTGACCCAAGCCATGGTATTTTCAAAAGTTTAATATGCATGTGAAAGTTGGACACGAATAAGGAAGACTATAGAATAATTGACACATTTGTGTTATGGTGGTAGAGAAGAATATTAAAAGTACCATGGACTACCAGAAGAACAAAGAAATCTGTGTTGCATCTAGCACAGTCAGAATGCTCCTTAGAAGCTAGAATGGCGAGACTTTGCTTCTATTATCAGAAAGGTCTAGTCCCTGGAGAAGGACATCCTGATTACTAAAGTGGAGGGTCAGCAAAGAGAGGAAGACACCCAACAAGATGGATTGGTACAATGGTAGCAGCAACGGGCTCAAAACCAAGCAAAGATCGTAAAGATAACAAAGGACCATTCGCATAAAGGTGCTAGGAGTCGAGGGCACTTAAAAATAACAACAACAACAAAGCTTCCATAGGTGTTGCTTATGGATTGAGCGTTATCATTTGACCGACTGGATTAAGAAACTTGAAATTTGCCTTCTCCTTTCTTAAGAAGTCTTCAAATCTGGTGTATATTTTATGGTTACAGCACAATTCAACCAGCCACATTCTTCATGCTCCAAAGTCACATGTGGCTAATTGCTCCCCTACCGGGTGGTGGACATTACATTATAGTTTTATTTCTCTCATAGACTAGGTTACTTAAAGATAATGTATGTACTGTTTTTGTTTTTCTTTGCTTAAATTGAGGCTTAATTTACATAGAGTAAAAAAGCATAGATCTTAAAGTGTTCTAGTTCATTACATTTAGGGAAAAAAAGCACACACTAGCATTGCAGGATAAGTACTGGACTGCTAATTACAAGGTCAGCGGTTCAAAACCACCAGCTACTTCTTGGAAACCCTGTACAGAGTTGCTATGAGTTGCAACGGACTCAATGGCATTTAACAACAATTATAACCGCTACTCTCCATCAGATACACAAGAGTTCCAGCATTCCAGGAGTTTCCTTCGTGCCTCCTTCGTGACAATCCCCTCCAGTCCCAGGTAACTACTCGTCTTATTTCTAACACAAGAGATTAGTTTGGCATATTCTAGATATCTATATAACGGAGTCATTTTTGTCTACTTTCTTTCACTCAGCATGGTTTTGAGAGTTATCCAGCTTACTGTGTGTACCAGTCACTGGTTCCTTTTTATTGCTGAGTATTAGTCCATTATATGAATAAGAGGGAATTTTAAAAAAATTAATGGAAAAATTCCATTATCCTTTCATTCTGTTTTTTCCATGAATTTTTGCAGCCCACTAGTATATTAGTTTGTTTATTCATTTGTGGGCTGATGGACATTTGGGTTACTTCTAGCTTTTGGCTATAAAGAATAAAGCTACTATAAAAAGTCTTATACATATAATTTCATAGATATATGTTTCATTTCTCTTGAGTAAATACCTAAAAGTGGAATTCCAGGGCCACAGAGAAGTCATATTTTTAACTTGTAAAAAAAACCAATCAACCTTTTCCAAAATGGCTGTGCCATCTTGTACTTCCATGAAAATACACTGTGAAGCACAGTTTTGCTCGGATCTTTTTTTTTTGAAGGCATCCTATCAAGACTAAGACAAGTGTATTATTGAGAGAACTTGTCTGCAGAATTGTCACTAATTGCAGAGACATGCTTAAACAGGTTTTGTTTCGAATAAACGCATAAATGTTTGAACTAGCCCCTTAGTGGTAATACTTTTTGACTTGCTCACATATTTACATAGCACGTTTAAGCTAAGTTCAAGGTAGTTAAATTTTATATTAAAAGTACTATATTTATATGAATTAGGAAACATTATTATACTAACAACAAATAAACTATTACTTAGCAAACTACTATGAGCAAGCAAATGATCCTTTTACTAATTAACTTTAAAGAGGAAACAGCCTGACTCGGAATTTCAACTGTCTTTTTTTTTTTTAACCTTTGTCATTTAGTCTATAGAATACCATAACCTTCTTAATTAATATTTTATCAAAAGAGAAAAGGGAAGAAATCCTTTCCTATTTTGAAATCGTTACATAGCACTTCAACAAAAAAATCAGGCATGTGTGTGCACATGCAAGGGGCTTCAAAAAGTTTGTAGAAAAATTCCATTATTTTTAAATTCCATTTTTCCACAAGCTTTTTGAAGACCCCTCAATACAGATATATACACACATATATAATATAAGTCCTGATGTGGCGCTGTGGGCTAATGCACTGGACTGTATAAGATTGGTGGTTCAAACTCACCAGCTGCTCCTCGGAAACCCTATACAGGGTCACTATGGGTCAGAACCAACTCAATGACACATAACAACAACAACACATATAATAAAATGGAGTTTTGGTGTGGTGCTGTAGGATAAGAACTAGACTGCTAACCGTAAGGTTGACAGTTCAAACCCACCAGCCACTTCTCAGAAACCTTAAGTAGGGTCATTAGAGTTGGAATCAAGTCAATAACGTAGAACAATACATATATAACTTTCTCAAATGGTCTTTTAATAATGAAACTAAATATAAGACCAAAAACTCTTATTTAAAATTGCTGTTGCTACGTGCTGTTGAGTTGGTTCCAAGACTCATAGCGAGCTGTATGGAGTTTCTGAGGAGTAGCTGGTGGATTTGAACCTCTGACCTTGTAGTTAGCAGTCCCGTGCTTATCCTACAGTGGCACACTTCTAATTTGGTCTGCACCTAAATTGCTCAGAACTTGAGATATTGCATTCAATGAAGCTCCTGTAACTCATAATGATGAAGTACTTATTCGCCCCTAAGAAAACACAATACTAAAATTAGCTCAACTGAGAAGTACCTCTTCAGCATGTACATTTGAATACCACCTCATGAAAAGTAAAAGGAGGAAGCAAAAAGAAAGGAGACAGTAAGCACAGAAAAGGAAATGAAGAATGTTCTAAAAGAGTTGTTTTAGTACTATTACTTTCCTTAGACTCACCCCATGTGGGTAAGGGTTGGAGGCCTTCATCATCCATCTGAACCATGCTGGATGGTGCTGGCTTCTGAGGGTCCTTTTTGATTACCATCTCCTTTACGGGGTCAAATGTTTTGAATGAAGGAGAGACATAGAGTGTCTCTACAGAGGCCTGGTTGTGAAAAGTAGAATCTGACTTTGATATTCTTAAACTGGGACCGATAAACTCTTCTTTAGTTGATGACCAAAATGCTGGTGTAGTTGCCAATGCTTCAAAACTTTTTGCAGCTGCCTGCTTTTCTAGAGGTGTTTGTAAGGGGTTTTCTAAGACTGTATTTGCAGTTGTATTGTCTGATCTCTTGTCCAAACTCATTCTTGTCTGCAGAGACGGGCTTTTATCTGAAGGGGTGGGTATAGCATCTGCAAAAGAACAAGAAGGAACTATGATAAAAAATAAATAAAACTAAAATACTCTCTTGCAAATTCACAGCACTTTCAATAAGTATGATTTTTTAATGCCACCTCAGGATTCTCTCCTATCTAATCTAATCATTCCTACCTTCTTACTACGTTTCTATTCTGCTTATTTAAAGTACACCCAAGCTATAAATGATACATTAGTCATTTGGCGACTGCTTTTCCCTCTCTCCTCACTGAAGCACAAGGCAAGAAAAGCTTCAAATAACTTGTCTTTAAATATTCCTTCCTTCACCCACTTATCTGTCTCTGAAACCACTGTATTTTTAGTATCTTCAAACTTTCATCTGTTTTATAAGATTAACTAGAGAAAAGATACCACATTAAGTTGGTCTATCCTTACAGAATCCTAAGCTACAGAAAAGCCTGTCTCCCCAGAAGTAAATAATGTCTTCCTGCCCTCAGTGTCTGTATAAGGCACATTAAAAAAGCTCACTACTTTAGGTGGCGGTCTACTTTTAACAAACCTCTGTCTACATGGCAGAAGAGGGACAATGTTTCAGGGCTCTTGTGACAATTACTAAAATGTAAGTTCCATTGGATCAGGGATCATTCTCCATTTTGTTTAGTAATATTGTCAAAATATTACAAAGCATTACAAATAGAAGGAGCTGAAAGAATTTTAGGGAAAAGAAAGAAAGAATTTTAGGGAATTGAAATTTAAGCTGCGCCTGATTTAGGAATATTAATTGTGTCTATGAATCCTGGATCTGGTTGACATTTCTAGAACAGCATTTTTTATCAAAACTCTTAATGCTAGGACTTGCTCTTAGGGAATTTGTATATGGAAAGAAAGAAAACCTATTTTTAAAGAAATGTCGCTAGATGCTCTCAAGTCTGTTCCAACTCTGGGGACCCTACGTCCAACAGACCCTATATGGACGGCTGTATCGCTGTATCCATCACCATCCTCAGGACAGTTGCTATATTTGCACCCACTGTGGCAGTCCATCTTTGAGAGTTTTCCCATTCTTTGCTGACCCTCTGCTTCACCAGGCATAATCTTCTTTTCTAGGGGTTGGTCCCTCCTGATACCATGACCAAGGCATGGGAGATGAAGTCTCGCCATCCTCACCGCCAAAGAGCACTCTGGGTGCACTTCTTCCAAAACAGATTTGTTTGTTCTTCTGGCAGTTCATGGTACTTTCAACATTCTTCATCAATACCATAATTCAAATGCATCAGACTGTCAGAAGAACAGGTGTTGTGGCAGATTAAGCATTGGGCTGCTAACCACAAGGCAGGCAGTTCAAACCCAGTAGTCATCCACAGAAAAAAGATGAGGCTATCTGTTCCCAACAAAAATCCTCACCACTGGACCAATAAACAACATTCTTATCAACAGAGAAAAGACTGAAGTTGTGAAGGACTTCATTCTTCTTGGATGAACTATCAATGTTCACGGAAGCAGCAGTCAAGAGATCAGACGACATACTGCATTGGGCAAATCTGCTGCACAGGAACTTTTTAAGTGTTGAAGAGAAAGGATGTCAGCTTGAGGACTAAGGTGCGCCTGGCCCAGGTCATGGTATTTTCAATAACCTCATATGGATATGAAAGTTGGACAGTGAATAAGGAAGACCGTAGAAGAATTGATGCCTTTGAATTGTGGTGTTGGAGGAGAATACTAAAAGTGCCATGGACTGCCAAAAGAACCAATAGAGCTATTTTGGAAGAAGTGCAGCCAGAGTGCTCCTTGGAGGCCAAGATGGCTAAACTTCGTCTCTCATACTTTGGGCATATTGTCAGGAGGGAAAAGTTGCTGGAGAAGGATGTCATGCTGGGTAAGATGGAGGGTCAAAGAAAGAGAGAAATGCACCCAGTGAGATGGATTGGCCAGGTGGCATCATTGATGGCGTCAAGTGTGGCAGCGGTAGTGAGGTTGGCCCAGGATTGGACATTGTTTCATTCTGCTGTGCATGGGGTTGCTATGAGTCAGTTCTGACTCAAGGGCACCTGACAACAACAATCTGTTCCCATAAAGACTACAGTTTCAGAAACCCCAAGGAGCAGTGCTATGCTGTCGTTGCGTTGTTAAGTGCTGTCAAGTTGGTTTTGACTCATAGCAATCCTGCAGAAGGTTTCCAAGGAGTGGCTGGTGAATCTGAACCGCTGACCTTGTGGTTCGAACTGACCTTGCGGTCCAGTGCATTACCCCACAGTGTCACACTAGGGCTCCACTCTGTCCTATAGGGTAGGAATGAGTAAGAATCGACTTGATGGCAGTGGATTTGATTTTGGCTTAGGCCAGAAAAACAAACAAATCTGTCTTGGAAGAAGTACAGCCATAATGTTCATTAGAAATGGAGATGACAAGACTTTGCCTCATGTGCTTGAACACGCTTTCAGGAGGAATGAGTCTCTGGAAAATGATGTACTGCTCGGTAAGTAGAATGTCATCAAGAAAGAAGAAGACCTTCAATGAGACGGAGTGACACAGTGGCTGCATAATGGAGTTACACAAAACAATTGGGGGATGGCACAGAACCGGGCAATGTTTTGTTCAGTTGTAAATAGGGTCACTATGAGTTGGAGGCAATTCCATGGCACCTAACAACCATGTGTAGAAACTGACTACGGTGCAGTGAATGATTTAATATGGCTCTTCTAGCTTATGGCCCAGAAAGGGGACTGGATAGTTTGCTAATAATGTAAATAAAAGTACATGGCATTAGCACCCTTGTGACTATGCAAATAAGGTATATGGAACCCTAGTGACAGGATTGGTTAGATTTGGCATCCTTCTAGGTTTCAAATGAGCCATCCTAGAGGTGGGAAGGAAGGTCCTCACAACCATAAAGAAAGAGCCATGATTGCAGCATGTCCTTTGGACCTAAAGTCCCTGTGCTGGACCTCCTTAATTCAAACGATCTAGAGCAGTGACGTCAGAGACAGCAAGAGATGGCACGAGGCAGTGGTCAAGCAGCAGAGGCAGCAGAACCAGAGCAGCAGGAGACTGAGTGGGGTGAGGCAGCCTAGCGCCTAAAGCAGGAAGCTTGCGGGCAGAGTGCAGTATCTCCAGGCATTAATCGGTAGAACTAAAAGTCATCTGTAACACTTCCCTGAGCAGGGCAGAGCCTGGAGTACATGTGTACATTACCATGTTTACAGAACAATATTCCTTAAAAGTGAATTTAACTCAAGGATTTTTCCATTGATTCTAATGCTGTATTTGAGAAAATTGAAAAAAACACACCACAACAAACAAAACCTTATTCCAGATATAATAAAATCATCTTCAAATTCAGCAATATGCAAACTAAGACAAAGAATGACAATCACTTTCTGATGATAATAATTCATAGTAGCACTTAATCTAAACCTCAGAAGTGGGATCTATAAAGTCATTGGGATCGTTTTTTACTTTAATGCTTGCTACACATGTTTAAAATTACAAAAGAAAAAAACAAACTCTAAAATTCAGTGAAATGAACCAGACTGAGGTCATTCTAATTTTTATCAATTCCCTTTCTCAGGAATCCAGAAAGAATAGAATGTGATCTTCTGGTGGTTTAATCTTTTTCTAAAAACTGGTAACTCTTCAAATGAGTAAAATACTATGTTCTAAAAGAGAAAGCATGATGACACATCAAATGTATGATTAAAATGAATAGCAAATTACTTAAAAGAGACAATATTTACTTGTACAGAAAGCTAAGGAGGCCTGAAGATTCTAGAAAGCAAAACATACCGCGTTTCTCTGCTTTGCTCTTCCCTGCTCATTCTGTGCCACATGACAAATTGGTCTTCTTCAATTCAATCACCATTTTACATAATCAATCACATTTAAAAATCCTTCAAAAACTCCTTCTTATTTCAAGGACAAAGTCTAAATTCCTTGGATTTTAAAGAGTCTCCATTGCTTATAGTCATCATTTCAAGGGAAAAAAAAACACCCAACTTTTTTTTTTTAATGCATGATGCTTTTGCATTTTATAGGTATCCTGTTGAGTCAGTTCCAATTCCTAGTGACCTAGGTAGGACAGAGTAGAATTGAGCCATAGGGTTCCCAAGGTTGTAATCTTTACAGAAGCAAACTGCTACATCTTTTGCCCACAGAGCAGCTGTTGGATTCAAACATCTGACCTTTCAGTTAGCAGCCAAGTGTTTGAACCACTGCACTACCAGGGATCCTTTTTCTTATAAATACTCAATAGGAAACTGGCCCTGGGTCAGGCTGTCTCTTCATTACTCACAAACACCGTGTTCACTCAGTTCTCTCCATCTTGACCGTCTTTGATTTCTTATCTGGCACTCCAGCAAGGAACCCCTCGCCGCTTCTCCACCTGTTTAAATCCTACCAGTTCCTCAAAGGCCAGATCAAACAATGATTACTTCTGGAAGCTAGTTCCAATCCTTCCTATCAATCCTAATTGATCCTAATCCTTCTCTTCTCTGAAATCATATTGCATTCATTTCTGTATACTCATTTTCTTCACCTAATTATCTGCTGTATAGTGCCTGTCATACTAAATTACTGCACTCTGACTTTATGGTCTCCACTGTGTATTTACGTAGACTAGATATGCAAACCTTTGTAAAATTTTAATAGTTTCTGAATTTATAAATTCTCTAATATCAAAATCAAGTCCTGGTGTGGTGCTGCAGGATAAGCACTGAACCTCACAGTCGGTTTAAATGGCAAAGTCAGTGGTTCAAACTCCCCAGCCACTCCTCAGAAATCCTATACAGAGTTGCAATGAGTCGAAACTGACTCATCCACCAACATGTGTATATGCAGTAAACACTGTTGTACATAATATTAACATATAAAATTGATATTGCTGTTGTTGTTGTGTGTAGTCAAGTTGGTTCTGACTCATAGCAACCCTGTACAGGGTTTCTGAGGAGCAACTGGTGAGCCTGAACCGCTGACGTTGCAATTCAAACAGATCTTGCAGTCTAGTACATTAATCTGCAGACTAAAAGCAAGAATGATCAAC